AAGATCTCAGCTCGCTGCAACCTCCACCTCCCGGATTCACGTGATTTCTCATGTCTCAGCCTCCGAGAAAGCTGGATTACAGGTGGTGCCACCATGCCCAGCTAATTTTTATAGTTTTTGCAAATATGGGTTTTCACCATGCTGCCCAGGCTGGTCTTGAACTCACTGGCCTCAAGGGATCCACCTGCCTTGGCCTCCCAAAGTGCTGGGATTCCAGCATGAGCCACCATGCCCGTCCCCCGGCAGCCGTCTTTTATAACTCAGAGAACTCTCACGCACGCCCACCACAGCCCTCTCAGTTCTCTGGACCAGCCCACTAGCGGAGGCAGGATACGGTTAGGAAGGGCAGAAACGTGATTACCTTTGCGTCTTCTGGCCCAATCTTGTACTCTGTGCCCTGCTCCATGTGGCACTGAGGGCAGCTCTCCCCACCAATATGATGGACCATTTGTAACAACAGCCAATGTTTTTTTTTTTGAGACGGAGTTTCGCTCTTGTTACCCAGGCTGGAGTGCAATGGCGCCATCTCAGCTCACCGCAACCTCCGCCTCCTGGTTCAGGCAATTCTCCTGCCTCAGCCTCCTGAGTAGCTGGGATGACAGGCACGCGCCACCATGCCCAGCTAATTTTTGTATTTTTAGTAGAGACGGGGTTTCACCATGTTGACCAGGATGGTGTCGATCTCTTGACCTCGTGATCCACCCGCCTCAGCCTCCCAAAGTGCTGGGATTACAGGCGTGAGCCATTGCGCCTGGCCACAACAGCCAATGTTCTAACCCAGCAGCTACAATTGGGGCAAAACCCCAAGAGGCCTGACTGTGTGAGTAAAACTTACTGGCACAACTCCGCGCCCACACACTCAGACCATCCAGGCCTGCCTCCCCTAACCAGGGCAGAGTGGAGCAGCTGACCTAAATGTCAGCGGGAGCTAAGGTGACAGCGGGAGCGAGGCTGTGCGTGTGCCTAGAAGCTGCTGTCACCTGGTTTCTCCAGCAGTAAGAAAAAGGGGGCACTGGCTGGGCGTGGTGGCTCACGCCTATAATCCCAGCACTTTGGGAGGCCGAGGCGGGTGCATCACGAAGTCAAGAGATCGAGGCCATCCTGGTCAACATGGTGAAACCCCGTCTCTACTAAAAATACAAAAAATTAGCTGGGCATGGTGGTGCGTGCCTGTAATCCCAGCTACTCAGAAGGCTGAGGCAGGAGAATTGCCCGAACCCAGGAGGCAGAGGTTGCGGTGAGCCGGGATCGCGCCATTGCACTCCAGCCTGGGTAACGAGCGAAACCCCGTCTCAAAAAAAAAGTAAGAAAGAAAGAAAACGGGAGCATTAAATAAACAGGGTCCTGGGCCAGGCATGGTGGCTCATGCCTGGAATCCCAGCACTTTGGGAGGGCGAGGCGGGTGAAGCACCTGAGGTCAGGAGTTGAAGACCACGCTGGCCAACACGGTGAAACCCCGTCTGTACTGAAAATATAAACATTCTCAGGGCACGGTGGTGTGTGCCTGCAGCCACAGCTACTCAGGAGGCATAGGTTGCAGTGGGCCAAGATCACACCACTGCATTCTAGCCTGGGTGATAGAGCAAGACCCTGTCTCGAAAAAAACGTTATAAAGGCAAGGGCTGCCCCTGCAGGAGGACTGGGCTGTAGTTTGGGTTTTTTTTTGAGATGGAGTTTCACTTTTGTGGCCCAGGTGCCATCTCAGCTCACTGCAACCTCTGCCTCCTGGGTTCAAGCGATTCTCCTGCTTCAGCCTCTCAAATAGCTGGATTATAGGCACCGGCCACCACGCCCAGCTAAATTTTGTATTTTTAGTAGAGACAGGGTTTCACTATGTTGGCCAGGCGGTCTTGAACTCCTGACCTCAGGTGATCCGCCCGCCACACCCTCCCAAAGTGCTGGGATTACGGGCACAAACCACTCTGCCCAGCTCCTGATAACTTTGAGGTTACAAGTGCCAAGTACTGTCCCCTACGTGGAGGAGATGCCTGCCAGCCCTGGAAGATGCTGCAGTATGTGTGTCAGGGACCGGCCGGAAGGTGCAGTGTGTTTATTATGGACCGGCTGGAAGGTGCAGTGTGTGTACGTTTCAGGGACCGGCTGGAAGGTGCAGTGTGTGTATTAGGGACCGGCTGGAAGGTGCAGTGTGTGTATTAGGGACCGGCTGGAAGGTGCAGTGTGTGTATTAGGGATCGGCTGGAAGGTGCAGTGTGTGTGTCAGGGACCGGCTGGAAGGTGCAGTGTGTGTATTAGGGACCGGCTGGAAGGTGCAGTGTGTGTATTAGGGACCGGCTGGAAGGTGCGGTGTGTGTATTAGGGACTGGCTGGAAGGTGCGTGTGTGTGTCAGGGACCGGCTAGAAGGTGCGTGTGTGTATTAGGGACCGGCTGGAAGGTGCGGTGTGTGTGTGTCAGGGACCGGCTGGAAGGTACGTGTGTGTATTAGGGACCGGCTGGAAGGTGCAGTGTGTGTATGTTTCAGGAACCGCCTGGAAGGTGCAGTGTGTGTGTCAGGGACTGGCTGGAAGGTGTGTGTGTGTATTAGGGACCGGCTGGAAGGTGCAGTGTGTGTCAGGGACTGGCTGGAAGGTGCAGTGTGTGTCAGGGACTGGCTGGAAGGTGTGGTGTGTGTATGTTTCAGGGACTGGCCGGAAAGTGCAGTGTGTGAATTAGGGACCGGCTAGAGGTGCAGTGTGTGAATTAGGGACCGGCTGGAAGGTGCAGTGTGTGTGTCAGGGACTGGCTGGAAGCTGCGTGTGTGTGTCAGGGACCGGCTGGAAGGTGCAGTGTGTGTATTAGGGACCGGCTGGAAGGTGCGTGTGTGTGTCAGGGACTGGCTGGAAGGTGCAGTGTGTGTATTAGGGACTGGCTGGAAGGTGCGTGTGTGTGTCAGGGACCGGCTGGAAGGTGCAGTGTGTGTATTAGGGACCGGCTGGAAGGTGCGGTGTGTGTATGTTTCAGGGACTGGCTGGAAGGTGCAGCGTGTGTCAGGGACCGGCTGGAAGGTGCAGTGTGTGCATGTTTCAGGGACTTGCCAGAAAGTGCAGTGTGTGAATTAGGGACCGGCTAGAGGTGCAGTGTGTGACTTAGGGACCGGCTGGAAGGTACGTGTGTGTATTAGGGACCGGCTGGAAGGTGCAGTGTGTGTGTCAGGGACTGGCTGGAAGGTGCAGTGTGTGTATCAGGGACCGACTGGAAGGTGCAGTGTGTGTGTGTGTGTGTGTGTGTGTGTGTGTGTGTCAGGCACTGGCTCGAAGATCCTGCAGTGTATATTAGGTACTGCATGCAAAGGGCTCTATCCAAGCTCTCAAGGGAGGATCAGGGCCGCTTTGGGACTCACAGGAATCTCGAGGGGACCCAGAGAAAGGAGGCAGCAGGGTGATGGTTAGGCTGTGGCCCCTCAGCAGTGAGTCACCGTCCCAGGGCGCCAGGCCCCTGCAGGTGAGACTCAGACGGCCAGACGCCCTGGGGAACCCTCAGACTTCGCGCCTCTTACCTCCCACAGGTGGATGCTTTCTGCAATTCCTGCCAGGACGTAGAGGCCGTTGGGTGACGTGGTCAGACAGGTGACAGGCCCAGGGCACATGATCTTCTGCTGGAGCTGGTCCTAAGGAGGCACAGTCAGCCCCGTAAACGTTGCGCAGCACATGGGAACCCCCACGGCAAGGGAGAGCGAGGGGAGGGGGTGCCTGGGCAGCAGCTAAGTCAGAGCACCAGGAAGAGGAGTTAGGAGCGGGGTGGTCTGAGCAAATGCATGGTGCAGCAAGGAAGCATTTGCCCCTGCAAGAGGCTGTGAGGC